TTTTTTTATATTCTATTTTTTATTACCACAAGTAAAAATTCCATATTAATAATACAAGAATTACTATTATTTTAAAGGCAACTTCCTGTATAAAATGTGACTATTTTTTACTAACATTAAACTAAAATCTTTAACAAAGTAATTATCAAAAACATAAACCTTACTTATAGGTTAATATTAACAAGATCACGTCATAAATTCCTTGAAAACTAGTTTCTTTCTACGAACACCAAATTCTTCTCATAAAGCTAATATTTTTTATTATCTATTTAGTTTAATTACAGTCCGGAATGACATATTTTCATGATTTATATAATTCAAAGTAGCTTACATTATTTATTTTAAAATTTTTAACACATTACAAAAATGACATGATTGATTTATAATTCAAACTGCCGCTTTTTTATCCCCCTTTCTACATATGGGACATATGGAACACTAGCGCCCTCTTATTTTTGTAAGATTTTTGTTTACATGGAGTTCGGGCTCCTTATATAGTCTCCATGCTAGCGGTGTTCGCGCTTGATGGTCACTACCCGCCGAGGGGCTTTCCGCAGGAGGCATTTTTCGAACGCTTCATGTGCAGTCTCGCAGAACGCCGAAAAATGTATTCTGTTATATTTTTGTTTAAATTGCTCAATAATTTATTAAAATGTGAGAACTTGTTGAGACTAGTAGATTTCCATGTTCCTCGAGTGAATGCTAGAAATAGGCATCTTTTGGAATTAAAAAAAGGTCGAACAAATTTGTACAAAGCAGCGCCTTTTCATCAGATGTGTGCCAGCTACCTAGAAGTTGAATCACGGTTAGATTTATTCTGTTCTACCATCAGTTGTATTAAGCAGGTTTATAATGTACGCAACTGATTTTATTTTGTGACTTTTATTGTACTTTAGTTTTGTCTATTGTCTGTTTTTAATTAGTGACTGTTATTTTTTTTTCTTTTTAATGTTTTTTAACTTATGTATGTAGTGTATTTTATGTGTCTTCTCCTTATCCTGTAACTGGGCTTTATCGCTCGTTGGATATTGTATTGATAAATAAATAAATAAATAAATAAAATAAATAAATTTCTTTTCAGTTGATGATATTACGAAATAGTCATATCCATTTTCTTGACGTTGAGGCTATAACAACTCTTTAATATGCCAGGAAATATAAAGTTGACGTGACTTTTTGTTTCGGCAAGCTGAATTTATTACTATAGATGCTAAATATTATGTACAATAACATATCAGTTTCCACAGTCATAAAAATGTGGGGAAGATTGTTTACAATCTGGTTAATTGTATAATTTTTACGTAAATGCACATTTTTCGTTTATAACTTTTTTCCGTTCATTTTCACGAGAAACAGTCTGTAACTCCGTTGTTTTTCAACAAATCTTTTTTTTTAACTTAAAGCTCTTTTCATAAGCTTTCCGAATATGTAATAATATATAACTATATTACGCGCGTGCGTCGTATATTTCATTTTGCAACTAAGGCTAAAAAATAAATAAAATTTCCAGGTTGCAAATTTGAAATTTAAGAAAAAAAAATGATAGATTTCAATGTATTATTCTACCATGAAAAATATCAGTGCGATTGTGGAAGATGCTCGGGATAGTCCAGACTAACAATTAGTTAATTTGTTTATAAGGCCATAACTTTTAAACTATTCAACTTACCGATTCCAGATTTCGTGTGAGAAAGTCATAAATAAACTTCTTCTGTTTATAACTTTTTATCTAATCAGTATTTTTTGATGCTAGCTTTGTAGGTCTTTTGAAGACGAAAAAACAGTACTTTACTGTTTTCTCGTGGCAATGAACGGAAAAAAGTTATAAGCGAAAAACGTGAATTTACGTAAAAATTATACAATTAACCACCCTGTAAACAATCTTCTCCCCATTTTTATGACTGTGGAAACTAATATGTTATTGTACATAATATTTAGCATCTATAGTGATACATTCAGCTCGCCGAAACAAAAAGTCGCGAAATGGTCATTTCCCAGCTCTTTTCCTGGCCTATTTATGTCAATTTGATGAAGCCGTATCAATATTTATAGATAAGTTAATAATTTGCTTTTAACATCCACGTTTTACAGAAATTATGAAGGTAAACAAACAAGCAAAAATGGTATTATTAGCGATTCTAATGAGAATATCTTATTAGTTTATTTATTAATTTGCTTTTAACAACTACGTTTTACATAAATAATGAAGTTAAACAAACAAGTAAAAATGGCATAATGAGCGATTCTAATGAGAATATCTTATTAGTTTATTGGGGGACTATTATAAACTGATAATAAATTTTAATATTAAAAATATATTTATGTCGTTTGAAGATGTAAGGATTGTATGAAATTAGTCATACGGAAATTGTTTCTCATTTAGAAATAGCTATATCATTCATATTGAAAATTTGCCAAAAACTTTATAGAAAAAGTATGACAGGGGGTTAAAGTTTATCTTCGGATCAATTTATTTAAAAATAGAGTGACATGTATTCGATTTTTCATTTACAGATATTGTTGTTTATTTTTTACATACAGGGTGTCCAAGAGCGAATGGACTTCATGCACTTCAAATGTAGCTTCTTGCGTTTATTCCATTTATATATAATTCTGTTATTTTTTAAATTTTTCAGTAAAATTTGATATAGAAAAGTTTTTGGGGCAACTAGAAATGAACATAGCCTTACGTCTTATGTACCATAGAGGTCGCTAGGTTTGCCTGAAACAGTCTGTTGTTTCATATTCTTACTTGTTGGTCGAGATTTTGAAACAAGTGTTTTATGAAAAATGCTTTCTTTCAGCTCCAGCTTTCTGCCGTAGCGGAAATTTGAAACATTTCAGTTAGTTAAATATAAGAATAAGAATTAAAAAAAATCTAATTTCTATGCTGAAAACGAAGCTTTTCGTTCGCGTAAAAATCTATGATCGCATACAGGGTGTTCTGAAAGGCCGTCAGGAAAGAAACTCCGGGAGGTGATTCTAGGGATTAAAACAATAGCAGTATGTAATAAAAATTATTTTCGAATTGTCTATCGTTTGCAAGTTATAGCTTGTCAAAGTTCAAATTTTTTTTATTTTACTCTTTCAATAACTTATTTAATTCAAGTTCGATTAGTCTCTCATTTGGCACACCCACTAAGTAGATCAAGCTCTATAGGAAAAGTCAGAGAAAACTTCCATTATGCACCGCTAGAGGGCACTTTACCTAGAACTCAAAATTTGTTTTGTTCATAACTTTTTTCCCTTGCTGGTCATCACAGAAATTTAAACATTGTTGGAAGGAGAAACAATATCAGAAAAAAATTATGTACACATTATTCAAGCCGATAAGTGTAAGTTTTATTGAACATCAAATTTTTGATAATTCTTTCTGTAATTAATCAAGTTGCCATGCTTCAGATAAATGTCATTAGTAATTATGGTATTACGAATTGTAACGAAAATTGTTTAAAACAAGTAAAAGTTATAAATATAACAAGCAATTTTTAGAAAATTGACAAGTTTCAAGAAAAACATCGATTTTTGCAATTTTTTGTAGTTAGCAAAATGTTTGTAATAAAAAAAAATAGAGCGATATTACCTTAGAGAAAATTTTATTTAAAACAAAAATGGTCTCTTACATTTTCTTCGCACAGTACGATTCAACAAAGATATTGAAGAGAAACAAATAAAAAATCATTTTTTGTGAATTGTTACTAACACTGTGCCTCACTATGCAGCGCTTGTGCATTTTAATGTACTGTTTGTTCTTTAACACATTTGTAGTCGATTTTTGAAGAAGTTTTGAGTTTTATGGAAAATGATCACAATCACGATGTTTTAAGCTTTCGTCAACTGGACTGCTTGAAAGTTATTTATTTCAGTGTTTTGTGACGGTATGATGTGTTTGTGTGTCTTCATTGTTAAATTCCTGTGCGATATTATGGAAAAAAGTGTACATAAATAAAATACCATGATATATGTTAACAGTATCTCCCAATTGAGGTTATATTATCCTGTCCAGCAGTGGGGTATGAAAATTACGAAAAAAAGGTTAAAAAACTTAGATTTCGCGCCGGAACTTGAGAAAACAAACATATTCTATGATTCTAAATGTCAAAGATGGTAGCTTCCGTTACGACCCCCTTTCAAGGTTACACCCTGTATATTTTAGGCCCTTCTGTACAGGGTGTATTTATTTAATCAAATAAATAGTCGAGTTATAATAAATTTTTTAAACTGCACTTTAATTACTAAGTCCCCCAAAATTAGCACGGTAAGTTGTATCAATCAGCGTTGTCAATTGTTCACTTTTTAAAACCTTTAGAGAGCGACAATGGAAAATAATTTAGTAAAGCAGAATGCTTTTGTACGGCTTAGCCACGTGTTATTTTAAAGTTACCATATTTTTTGATATCAAAACATTGCCTTAGAGAAAAATTAAATTTTTTATACGAATTATTAAATATTAATAAATAGTGATACGTCACTAATTGTAAATAAAACCAATTTATTATTTACAATAATTATTTTTGCCACATTGCCACAATAAAAACCAGGCCAGTCAAAGCAAAGTCACTATGATCCGGCCAGCCGGGTCGAACCGATTTTGCGTTGATTGGCTGAGCCATAACGATCTTGCCTTAATTTAATGGGGCTACAAACAGGGTTCTCCTATTTCTTAACTTGATTTGACCTTCAAAGAACCTTCAATCTTGACCTCAAGGTCATGGCAAGGTCACCATCGTATGATCCCATCAAACCCTAAAACCTTCAGCCAGAATCATTCGTCGTAAGTGCTTTTCCGAAAAATATCGCAAAATCTTATTCAGAACTTTATTTGACTCTTGATTTTTAGGGTCAATTTGACCCGTAACATAAAGATAAAATTTTCCGCTCTATCCATATTTTATGTCAGAAATATATCTATCATATCTAAAAATTTAAATTGACCTTCATTTGACCTCTATGGTTGACCTTTGTGTCAAAGTCAAGGTCACCATCGAATGTCCCCCTAACTGCCCTACAACTTTTGTCTAAAAACTTTTTCTTGAAAGTGCTTCTTTATGAAGATATTGTAATGCGTTATTTAAAATGGGACACCGTGTACAATATGTGAATCTCAGTGTCAATAACCTCTGACCTTGACCTAGATTAGCTGAACTATATTACTGTCACTACGTAAATTAGATAGGGACGCGATTAGGAAAGTTAAAACAGGTAATATTCAAAAGTTATGAAATCTAGACAAAATACTGTACTTATGTTTCTACTATTTTTTTCTCGTTCAGCCACTTTGGAAGCCAATCGGTGCTAGACATATTAAATTAATCTCAAGTAAACAAAACAGCAACGAAATTCAATCGTGAACACCCTTTGAATAAAATTAACCTGTCAAAGGGCAGTACTTCGAGCAGACTGGTGGCGTGGAAGTTTCCTTTTTAACAAAATTTGCTTTTTAATTACGAGATTTGGCAACAGTGCATACCGTAGTTCCCAAGTGTGCAAGCGTTGCAGTTATAACGCTCCGTTGTTTGAGGTTAGGTTAGGTATGTCCAGCGGCGGGGTATGACTTTTCATGGCGTAATTTGAAAAAACAAACTTATGATAAGTGACGTCCTTACCAGCATCCCCACGAAGGCAGCGTTCTCCGAGAGGAACCCGTACCCGGGATGGACGGCCTCCGCCTCTGTCTTCTTGACTGCGTCCATAATTTTCGCCTTATCTAAATAAGACTGCGAGGCCGGAGATTCGCCTATGAACACCCTCTCGTCCGCCAGCTTCACGTGCATCTGCGACAAAAAAAAATAATTAGCCAGATAAAAACGGTTATCCGGAACTGCCAAGGTGATGAAAACGGGAATCGCTCCTGCAATGGCCTCGTAAAAGTTTATTTTACAATGCAAAGGCGGCCCCGTAGCACCGGAACATGAAGATATCTTGGCTTTGTGTAAATATTTATGGAAAGCCGTTACCGAATACAAGATGTCGAGCTCTTAGCGTAAAGATGAAATGACGTCAGTAACAATAATTAAATAATAGTACCTTCAAAAAATATCAGGGTCATTACGAGAAAATGTTAGATTCGACAGTTACTTCTTTGTCTTTGGAGATAATGGAAAAATGAAATATTATTTATTCACTAAATTTTCACAAGAAATCGTTTTTTTTTTTTATTTAAATGACAACTAAGCATTGCATTTCAGAGATATATGTACACGGTGTCCCATTTTAAATAATGCATTGCAATATTTTCTTAGAAAAGCACCTTCAATCACCTTTTTAGACAAAAGTTGTAGGGTTCTGAGGGGGACATTCGATGGTGACCTTGACAACCGTGAAGGCTATTTGAAGGTCAACTTGGATTTTTAGATGCGATAAATATATTTCTAACATCGGAAATGGATAGAGAGGAAAATTTTACGATCAGATGTCTTTACGTTATGGGTCAAAGTGACCCTAAAGGGTTATTTTAGGGTCAAATAAGGTTCTGAATAAGATTTTGTGATATTTTTCAGGAAAGCACTTACGACGAAGGATTCTGGTTGAAAGTTTTATGGTTTGAAGGGATCATACCATGATGATCTTGACCATGTTCTAGAGGCCAAGTACTTTGAAGGTCAAATCAAGTTACGAAATAGGAGAACCCTGTTTGCAACCCCACTAAGTTAAAGCAAGATCGTTATGGCCCAGCCAGTCAAAGTCAGATCGCTTTAACCCGGCCAGTCAAGGCAAGGTCATTATGATTCGACCAGCCGAGTCGAAGAGATCTTGCCTTGACTGGCTGGGCCATAACGATTTTGCCTTAACTTAATGAGACTGCAAGGGTTCTTCTATTTCGTAACTTGATTTGACCTTCAAAGAACCTTCAAGGTTGTCCTCCAGGTTATGGACAAGTTTATCATCGTATAATTCCATTAAACCATAAAACTATCAAGCAAAATCCTTCGTCGTAGATGCTTTCCAGAAAAATATCGCAGAATCTTATTCCGAACCTTACTTGACTATGACTTTTGTGTCATAGTCAAGTTCCAAACTGAATGTCCCCCCTCGGAAACCTATAACTTTTGTCTAAAATTTTTTCTTGAAAGTACTTCTCTAAGAAGATATTGCAATAAGTTTTTTTTAAATGGTACATCGTGCATATATCAATTCCGTTTTTCTCTTTCTCTTTAATATTAAGAGAGATATCACCAAAATAATATCAAGCAAAAAAATTTAAGGATTAGAGAATATGTAAATACAGATTTGGTATCTCTGGAATCTGACAGTTTCTTGGAGTATTAACCACAACGTGTTTAACTACAATCTGCATTTAAGATATGGTTTATTATCTCGAACCGTCATCCGTAAAATATTTTGAGGTAATATTTTTGAGAAATTTAAAACGAGTATATAAAATTTCTCATTAATTTCCCTTTTCAGGGGTTCTCAAACTGTTTCAAACATAGATCCCATACATAGAAAATTTATCGAACTACTCTTTTAAAATTTGGATAATTAATATACAGAATGGTCCTCAAGTATGTTCCAATAAAAAAGGGGGTGATTTTTTAGGTCTTTTTTAACAAAATAAAGGTAAAAGTTTACAGAATAAATAATTAATTATATCAACCATATAGATACTGGTAGATACCGTTACTGAATACTTTGAAAATTCCATCACTTTCTTTGATTCCTACTTCAAATAAAAACATTCTGTTATACAAGGTAGTTACAAAGATGGGGAGAATTTTATAATTGTAAGTGAAATGCAATAATCATTTTCGATAATGAAAACTGTTCAAATCGCAAAATAATAATCAAAATTGTTAAAGCTTTTTGAAAATCTCTGGAATGGTCCTATATATAAAAAGAGGTGAATAGTTGTGGTCGCAGATAGAGCGCGGTCCGTTTTTTCGTTCCATTTTTTGTGACAAACAGAAACATTACTAGTTCAATTTTAGTTACCGTTAGTTGCACTTTAGTTTTCTCTTCAGCAACATATTTTTGTGAAAATGCAGTATTTTTGGGGACTTCTGATAAAAACTCTGAATTAACTCTATATCTTTATGTATAGCAATTTGAAATCAGTGGTTCCAAAAATGCTTCTTCGTATTATTGTGGTTTAGTTAATAGGTACCTATTTAAAAAAATTCTATTTACAAAAAATATTTCTGATATGAGATTTAGTTAGTACCTACTATACAGGCTGTTACAAATTCGCTTCGCACTACAGGGATCTCGGAAACGGTAAGAGGTACGAAGTAGCTTAAATGGGGTCAAAGTTGCGTAATCAAGGGGCCAACATTATGCCTCTAAAAAAATCAAGGCTAACATGATTAGTTTTCGAAATATTTGAAAAGAAGCGTAATTTTGGAAATCCAATTTTGTTTAATTTCAGCCTTATTTGAGATGATATAGAAAAAAGAAGAACACTTTCTCATGGCCACTTTTTGCCTTCTATCGAATCACATAACAAATTTTTATATGTAACGATTCGTCTTACCAGGACCATCATCAACTTAATTTTTTTAAATACGACCCTGGAAATTTTATTACATGTTTTGCAAGCCTTCATGATCCCCAATACTGTACTGTCTCAGTCCGAACCAGACTCAGACGTTTTGTCTCGAAAAATTGATCTTCAGTGTATTTGTTCCAAATTTATCTAAATATTTTATTTAGATTTATTTGTTTATTGAATTATCGTACACTATAAGTGTCGTTAGAACCTGTGAAATTCATCTAGTTATTTAAACTGAAATTAGACAAAAACGGATTTCCAAAATTTCGGTTTTTTTTCAAATATTTCGAAAACTAATCATGTTAGCCTTAATTTTTTAGAGGCATATTGTTGGTCCCTTGATTATGCAACTTTGCCCCCATTTAAGCTACTTCGTAGCTCTTAGCGTTTCCGAGATCCCTGTAGTGAGAAGCGAATTTGTAACAGCCTGTATATTTGACACTATTTTTTTTTATTTAAGATAAGCCTTTATTTCTGTTCAACTTACAAAAAACTAATATTTCTTTCAAATTATATTTAGATACGATATTTACCTTAGGAATAGTAATATTATAATGCATGTTAATTTCGCATTTAAATATTTGTTCTTTGCTTCCCAAATTCTTTGCGTTCAAAGAATATCTTTTAAACTCAAGTATTGATGTTTTTTGCTTAACGGAAACTTGGTACAATTCTAACATATCGAATGATTTATTGGAGATTCATGGATATAAGCTGGTTAGAACTGATAGGCAATCCAGAGGAGGAGGTGTGGCTTTTTATTTACGAAATAATATTAACTTTGAAATTATTGAAACAAATGTTAGTATTGAACAACTTTGGATTTCTATCAAACTTAATGGCAAATGTTATGCTATTGGCGTATTTTACAGACCTCCAAAGATGAAATATAAATTTTTTGTTGATGCTCTTGAGGTATCCGTTTCTTTATGCATGCAAACTGTTGAGGACATTTATTGTCTGGGTGATATCAATATTGACTTGTTCAAAATTGATGAACCATCCACTGTTTACCTCAATACTAAGATTGAATCTCTAGATGTTCACCAAATTGTAAGTCAGGCGACTCATGTAACTAATACTTCTGCTTCCCTTATAGATATAATTCTGACCTCGGACATTAAATGTACTATTGCTGATGTAGGTGGGTTAAACTTGTCGAACCATGATATGATTAGTTTTCTTGTTAACTTGGCTCCCTCTAAAATTGAACCATTTTTGTATACGTTTAGAAGTTGGAATAATTATAACGAAATTGCTTTTAATAATGATTTAACTAATTTAACTTTAGAAAATATATTTCACATCAGCCATATTAATGATAAAATAAACTATCTAAATAAAAAATTGCTAATGCTATATGACAAGCATTTCCCATTAAGAACGGTCCGCATCACAAGAAAGTGTTGTCCATGGCTAACTGATAATATAAAGTTACTCATGAATTTACGGGACAAAGCTAAGGCTAAATTTTAAAGAACCGACTGATTGGGATTATTATAAAGACCTACGTAATTACACAAATCATTCTGTCACCAATGAAAAGAAAGCATATTTTAATCATATATCTAATAATTATTCTACTAAGGATTTATGGAAAAAATTGAAGTTGTTAAACGTCAAACATCAAAAAAGTACTTCTCTTCCATCTCATCTCAATAATGCAGATAGTATTAATAATTATTTTATTGATAGTATACCTAACATGCAGCTTACTGACAATGATATAGTTAATTACTATTTAAGTAAAGTAAGGACTCATCCTAGATTTTCTTTTAAGCTTGTCAATGAAACTGACATACGTTCAATTATTATCGGTCAGATTAGGTCTAATGCAGTTGGTGGTGATGGTTTTGGTATAAATTTTATTAAAATATGTTGTCCCTATATTTTGCCGGTTATTGTTAATATTGTTAACTCTGTATTTCTAGAATCGCAATTTCCCTCTTTATGGAAAGAGGCGTTGGTCATACCCTTACCAAAAGTAAATAATCCTAGTGAATGGAAGGATCTTAGACCTATAAGTATATTGTCTTGCTTGTCAAAAATAGTCGAAAAAGTCATGGAGAAACAACTTCGTAGCTTCATTGATATTAATGATATTTTGCCTTTTGAGCAATCGGGTTTTCGCCCAGGGTTTAGCTGTACCACAGCGCTACTGAATATTACAGATGACATAATTAGAGCCACAGATGTAGATTTGATGACGGTATTGGTGCTTCTTGACTTCAGCAAGGCCTTTGACACGGTTAATCATGCAGTGTTGTTGGCATTGCTAAAGTCAATTGGACTAGACGATGGAAGTCTGCAACTGTTAGAAAGCTATTTAACTGGACGTGGTCAGGTTGTTAAGCTAGGAAGCTGTGGGGTACCACAGGGTTCCATTCTGTGACCCTTATTATTCAGTTTGTATACAGCTTCTTTTCCTATTTTTTTAAAATATTCTAAAATTCACATGTATGCAGATGACACACAAATTTATTATTTTTTTCCTAAAAATGATTATGAATTAGCCAAAAATCGTCTAAACGAGGAAGATTTTATGTACAATATCGGAGCAGCACAATCTGTTGCTGAATCCTACAAAATCTGCTATGCTAATTTTTGGTAATAGGAATATGAGAAACACACTTAGGGATACTTTTAATCTAGAAATATGTGGGCAACAAATAACAGCTTCAGAAACGGCTAAAAATTTAGGTGTTATTTTAGACAGCACTCTCAGGTACCGTCAACAAGTTTCTAAATATATACAGAGGGAATATGGAGCTTTAAGATGTTTGTATCCCCATAGAGGATATTTAAATGTTGCCACCAAAAAGATGTTGTGTGAGAGTTTGGTTCTTTCACAATTTAATTACTGTTCTCCATTGTATGGACCTTCTTTGGATGTGGATCTTTCTAATCGCGTTCAAAGGGTACAGAATGCATGCTTGCGTTTCATTTTTGGTATTAGAAAGTTTCAGCATATTTCTCACAAACTATCTGATATTAAATGGTTGAATATGAAAAATCGGAGAAAATTTAATTCTCTAACTCTTTATCATAAAATTATCACTAGGCAAAAACCGCCATATCTATATAACAAAATAACATTCAGATGTGATGTACATCATATTGATATAAGAAATAAGGGTTCCATCTCTCCTCCTATTCATACTTCTGCTCTTTTTGAGAGATGCTTCACGTTTGATGTCTATCGATTGTACAATTCCGTACCTACCGAACTCAAAATATATTCTTCGTCCATGTTTAAGAGATGTTTAAGAGATGTTCTATTTTCGGGTCAGTTGTGATTTGAAAGTATAGCGTTGCTTATGTTTGACGGTATTATATTGTTATATTGTTTGTATAATGTTGTTTATGTTTGGATATGTAAAATTGTTTTGCTTCTATCTTATCTACCAGATATATACACTGTTTTCTCTAGGTTAAAATTATTATATACTTGGATAAGTTACCGTCCATTGTTAGGAACATAACATTGACCTTCTTTTGAAATGAATTTAAAATCAGCACTACCACTTATACTGACAATTGGAAAAAAATTACGTTCTTTCAATGTCATTTATTTATTTCAAAATCAAAGATTTTTCCATTTACGAGGTAAATCCGATTCCAAATTACAGTTACTACTTACAGAATAAGCTACGTAATACATTTAAGAGCATTACAACCCGCTACATCCGTATATATCCCTCAGTCTTTGGTAGTATTACGATTATAATAACAATAAGTAGGCGCCCTCCCCTCAAATCGCCTAATGGAATATCCTGAATAATTGATGCCCTTTAAAATATCCTAATGTACTTACAGACTGGGAATCCGCTACCGAGTAGACAGCGACCGTTTTGATGCCCATCCTCTTGGCTGTGCTTATGATCCTGCACGCTATCTCGCCCCTGTTCGCTATCAGGATCTTGCCGAAAGTGGGCTCGGCGGGGTCGATGGGGTCTACGGTGTAGATGCCCCGCCGCTGGAGGAGGCCGCTGGACACTACCGAGGTGGTCTGGTGTAGCTGGAACAAAGGTGGTTGTTTCGATGAAGGAATATGCATAATTCATGGTTGTATCTACTCTACTTTGTTATTTTTTTGTATTATTTTGGTAACAGTTGCCAGTTTGTATCGTATACATATGATAATATATTTTTTTCAAAAACGGAAAGAGGGCTAAAAATTCATTCCAAAGATCATTAGAAAGAAACATTAGAAATAACAACAAATTTATTTAAATACAGGGTGAAATGAAACAAGAATACATAATTAATGGAAAAATGGAAAATCTTCCAGGTATTGAATCAACTTTTATGTTAGACATACAGGGTAAAAAGTTATTAACCACATTTTCGGTAAAATTGGTCATAAGTGGCGCCCTCTATGAGCAACGCTAAAATTGCAACACTCATCTTATTTGTCGCTTAAGAAAACATAGTTTCACAAATTTTCAAGTTCCTAACCTACATATTTTCAGAATAATCGCAAAAAAAGATTTAAAATTTTAACTTTCAACACCTTGTATTTCCGGAATTATCAACTTTCGGATAAGGCATGTTTGTGCCAATGGTCACCATTTCACGTGTAGTATCTTTAGCTTTCGGATTTCCCATTGTTAATGAATCACCCTGTATATCTTTTGTATCAACTAAAAATACAAGAGCTAATAAAGAAATACATTGTTTAAAAACACTTCTGGAGAATCCTCTGTAGACGTTTTCCACTTAACTCGTCGTCAAGACTTGTATTTACATGACAGCAGTCGACATCCAGTAATTACTATAAGTACTTACAATTGTTCTGTTTGAATAATCGCAATGATTTAAGTTAATAACATAGTACACGGTACATGCATGTAAATGTAAATGCAAGAATCGTTCTGTTTTTATGCAAATGATACAATTCTGTACTTGTAGAAATGAAAAATAAATAAATCCCCACACGAAGTACCTGCATGTACATAGAAAGCATTAATCCTGGTGACCTTTGCTCTTATTCTGATTACAACTACATTTTGTTTAACCGTCATAAAATTGTTAAATATAGCCTTATAACCACATCTGCAAATTTTTACAGGTATACGATAATTAGTTATATAAAAAAAAACAAAAGAAGTGTCGATATTCGTCTGGATAATTAAAACGCTCTGTGACGTCACGATGCGGAATAAGCTAGCCCAAAAAAATTAGTGGTTAGGTTTTCATGTAATAGTCTACTACATTCTGTAATCTATTGACATTTGCGTACTGTTGCGTCCTTCCGTTTGTAGTTTATTTTAATTAAGGTAACATACCAGTGGTGGCTCGTGACATCGAGAATAGATGAAGCATATTCACTGATTGACGCAAAAAGCGCCGCAGGCGAAAATTTTCAAGGTCAAACGGCTTTAAATGAATCGACATTTTGAGCATATTATGTTGTAGTTTTTTTTTACTTGTGCGTTTAAAAATTACTGAATTTTGCTTTTTGGCAAGTCCCTAAATTATTTTTAATACGTATGATTATTTGGACTGGAACTAAATGTTTCACAATAATGTTGTTTACATTTTTTCCATAGGACAAGTCTGCCGCGTGCACACGTGGTGTGCATCGGCTGTGTAGCGCTGTTGTCACGTTGTGATGAAACTACTCAATATTAATACTCGTTGTATTTTGAAAACTGTTAATCTTACGCGCCGTAATATACAACTTTTTTGTTCATTTATGACTACTCTATCTCGTGCTGCAGTTATGGCAGTCGTACTTCTTACACTCTGTATAACGTTTGCTAGACTTGTTAGGTAATTTCGGTGTTTCTTATTTCTGACTTATTTTCAAGGACAAAAATAGTCTTTTTAATGGTCAGTACGTGTTTCTGTGGCCATTTATCTTAATCAAAAGTGTAAATAATATGTTTTAAACTGTGCTAAATAAATATTTTCCAATTTTTCTTCATAATTATTCAAAAACAGTTAATTTGCTCATAAATGTTTATAGCGAAATGTTGAATAACACCGCTGATCCACTTTTAGATAAAAAGTTGTAATTAAATAGCAGATTGGATGTACTTATCTCTCAAAACAAACAGTGATCTAAAAAATAATGTATTTAGGAGAAAACAGTACAGTAAAATGTCCTATCTATCTCTGTCTTTTATTTTGACTGTAATATATAGCTTGTCCCTTGGTGGCTACAGGGACATTTCAGAGATTACTAGGATTTAAGTCGTAAAAATTTTGGATGTTTTTTTTTCATAAAATGATGTCTTTGTCACAATTCCAACTATATAGAAAGGTGACAGTAATTTTCTTATAGAGATTTCTCTTCATAGATATACTACTAGTTAAACTGTACACACCGAACAACCCGACATTGCAAAATATGTTTTCTCCCAATAACAATAAACGCTATAAAATACTGTTTATTTCATTCAAAAGAAGCATTCAAAATTCGATAATAACATACCAAATATATAAATATATCACAACAATTGATCTTTATCTTTACGGCGCAATATTAAATATTGATTATATATTTAAACTTCAAAATTCCTTGACTGATAACAAATTTAATTTTAATTATTTACAGCCTCCGTTAATGTTTACATACCTTGTATTTGCCGATGTTGAAACATTTCTGTAAGAACAACTTAGGTACAGTCAGTGCCACCACCATCGTTAAACCTTTTCTCAAGCTATCACAGATTGTCACTAAAGCACACTCACTCGGTCCAATTGTCCAACATAAACAATTTCAAAGGATTACAAAACAGTTATCTCCGAAATGAAAACGATTCGGAGTGAGGCACAGACTCGCCCACCAAATCTATCTCTTGTTATCAACTAACGTACTGATAAGGTGCGTCGAGATTTTTATTTTTATTTTTTGGTTGCCCGAAACTGGAATCGCTTTCGGAACGGCTAGCGCGTTGGCCATGTCGGTATTGACACTTGAAACCGGTCGGGTACTCTTCATGTTGAAGTCAAGGCAAAGGCCTTCTCTTAGGCTAAAGCGTGCCGTACACGACATATCCGTGTGAACTGCTTTATGTCCAAAAATTCATTGTATAACTTTTCTATGTCTGTCAAAGTGAAAATAACAATTTTACTAGTAACATATTGTTTGAGTGACGCAAACACAAGCTGCACTGTTTCGAAAGAAATTAATACATCGCTATTTTGTGCCTCTTCTCTCATAAATTTAAGTATATTGTGTACATTTTCATGACTGTGCGCTTAGCACATTATGGTTCACCAGTGATTTGAATTCCATAGTTCAAACAACTTTTTCTCAGACTATACCGATGTTCAATGTTCGACGTTTAACGCGGAGAATGAGCTCCGGTGCTGGTCTGGCAATGTTGCCACTGCGCATCTCAAACTCGCGGATAATATTTGGTTGTATCTATAACGTATTATAGTATGTAGTAGTATATAAAAAACTTAAATAAAATAGGTATTTTTAAAAATTTTTCGATTCGATTCCAATTTAAGTATTAACGTTTTTGCGGTAGTGTTTACATTACTTTTTCAAGTGCCAAAAATGGCTTATTTGTATAGCAACTCGAGTTGATGGCTATCGTTTTAATTTGTGGTGAAGCAAGACAAAATTTGTGTTATGATGAAGTATTTGTGTTATGGTAAAGCAAAACAACATTTGTGTTATGGTGAAACTAGACAACATTTGTGTTAGTTTGTAGAAACCGTGTACGACGGCTCCAAATAAATATGTTTACATGTCGGTGGACAAAATTTTGAACAGTTGCAGCATCAGTATGTTAAATTATTTTATTTTTACAGTGGACCAGTTTCCAGTGCCGTGCAGAAGTGTATTTTTAAATCATTTTTGAACTACCCTTTTAGATTTTTTTTACAAAATTGTCTTTGTAAGAATCCCCTGTAAATTCATTTTTTTTTTTGGATAAGTTCTGTATCTCTGAATCTTGAGATTATAAATATATTACCTGCGCATAAATAAGGTCAATTATAGGTAATTTGCTCATATATTTAAATATATAATATAAAAACTTCATTAAATTACTATATTTATCACACCTAAGTAAAATTTTTCGGCAGATGGTACCACCCTCATTATAAAGGTCTCCTTACTTTGTCATTACAGACTTGATCTGAGATCTGATGATCTCACGGACAAAAAGAGTCAGTCAAGCTGAGTACCAATTCCAATCCATTCCAAACACACAAATAAAGAAATCACTAATCCCGTCCATAAATGCAATAGAGGCAAGCCACAGTAATAAATATTGCACAATAAAAGGCGGTATAACCATTAATTTCCCCCTAATAGAAATCCACCCCCTAAAAAACGCAGTCTAGTCCGCTGCAACAGCCATCCTGCGCCGATCTGGTTTCTAGTACGAGTCTGAGCCGGCAATTATCCAAATTTACGGCCAGGCCCACCGCCATATTCCTCGAAAGTTACACACATCTGCCTTAAATAATTGCGACGGCGGTTCCCGCGGATTTCTCATTGTACGATGCGAAATAATCCCGATTTGGCTCGCACAGGGAACATTCCGGACCGAATTCGAGACTTGGGGGCGAGTTATTAGCGGGGATTAGCATCGTTCTGTCGGAGAGGGCGCACAACCGCGAATAATTGTGATCGTGGCGGGAACAAAAGCCCCGAAAAAGTAAAAAAGGAGTGCGCTAGAATAAACTATTCGAATTATCGGTTACAATAACCCAAGGACATTGATAATAGACGCAAAAATTTCACGCCTCTGTTTTGTGGCCAATCAAAGCATAATCTTCCAAAATATTCGCTAATTGTTCGACAGCCATTCTACAGGGTGAGTCAGTTTTTTGTGGTAGAATTTTAATAGTTGATAGAGAATCATTTTTTAATAAGAAAAGTTATTATAAACGTAGGTCAAAGAACGCTTCGTTTGTGAGATATAGGGCGTTGAAAACAAACTTTTTTTAAGAATTTTTCTTAAAAAGACCAACCAACAGATATTAAACTGAAATTAATAACACATTAGACAACAAAGATATCCGTTTTACCCACCAGTGACGTGCCCGAGGTGGGTTACTGTCCCGTTTAAAAAATAATTCGTACGCCCATGGATTTTTCTGGAAAATAACATAATTTTTAAATTTTTTAATCAATTCTGAACAAAACAGCTCTCTTTCAATTTTGTATAAAATGAACGGTTTTGATGTTTTAGAAATAATAATAAAAATTCTTAAAAATTTTGTTCTATATCTCACAAACGAAACGTTCTAAGACCTACGTTTATAGGAACTTTTCTTATTAAAAAAATGAATCTCTATCAACTGTTAAAATCCCATCACAAAAAACTGACTCACCCTGTATAATGTCTTTCAACTTCGATAAACGTTTGTTTTAGATTTTTTGGTATTTGTTCTTCAGGTTTGATTTTTAATTTTATTCACAGCTTTGGTATGAAATTTTCTTATTAATTGTCACATGTGCTTAAATTATTCGGAGAAATTTTCTGTTGATCAGGAATATTTCATGATTTTCAATACATGCATGCAAGTAAGTAATTTTTTTCATTTGTAAATAGCCCGGAATTCAATTTTATTTATCGAAACTTAACATTTTGATGAAATTTTCTGTACTGAATATTTCTCACTGTATTATAATATCCTGCGATATGACAGATAATTCTATGCTGTTAACAAAGTTGTGAAACAAATGTAACTTTATAAAATTATATTTATCAAACATCATGTGAGTTGTTAGATATTGTAAGTGGAAATTTTCACTAAACCTGCATTAGACTTTCCGTCCAATAATAAAGCATATAACTTTCGTAAAGCTAATTTTCATAAATTGTATCAAGAACTTCTTATCATTGAGTGGAACTTTCTAATAATTACTCAAACGTAGATGAAGCTCGCGACTAATTCTATTAAAAGCTGTACTCCACTTTTAATAAGCATGTTCCAGTATTTCACCCTAGAAAATATTAATGTCTATCGTAGTAGTTATGTTATTACAAATAATTCATTTAAAAAAATATGTATCATAACAAAAATAAACAAGTTAAAACTAGGTACGTTTAGTCAGAATTTATTCAGGATAGAAAAAACTTTAGAGAAAGTTATAAATGTTAAAAAGAACAAATATTGAATACATAACACCTTAGCCGACAGAACACATTTATCTTAAAATGATTTGACCGTTTCATTTCAGTCACCAGAGGCTCAATATTATCTGACTGATCCATTCTATTCCATTCAGCATGATTCGACTTACTACTAGAACCTGGAGTTGAAGTGTCATTGTAAAGAATCCTGTTGGCTATTTCATTTTTGTTACTTAAACTGCCAGCAACATAACTTTCTGCAATTGTGGCTAATTCCCACCCACCATGTCTCTTGATTGCTAATACATCAACTTCTGTATTAGCCAGTAATGTTGCCGATGTTCTTCAGAATGAATGGCGTGTATATGTTTCAGGATGTTATAGTTTCAAAAACTGTGCAATCTTATTAGAAATCATGGATAGGGTATCCCTGCCGACTCGTTGGTTGTAACAGGATATCCGGGTAGTGACCTTTGTTTTCACAAAACGAAATACTGTATTTGCAATAACCGTTAAGTTTAGTACCCTTGTTTTCTTTATTGCAGAAAATAAAAAGTAATGCATATTTTAAGAGCAGAACAAACCGACCACCGAAGCAATTCTTGTAGGTATTACTTTTAAACAAAGTGTAAGTATTCCGTTACTCTTCTTGCCGCGGGGCTCGCCTTAAGGACAACAATTAATTTCCGTTTAGAGGCTCTTAACGTAAATATTTAAAACAGACATTAAGGCGCAATCCCGTAGATCTCCATTTGTTTCATCCAGGGCAAGAACTGCATCCGATGACTGAATCATTTATCTCCGGCGAATAAAGTCCTTAACTACGAACAAACGCGCGCCAGTGGGCTCTTAAATAAGACGTAGACTTAGGAATGCTACAAAAATCGAGGAGTTTTGAGCGAAACGACGGGACGTCACGTCGAACACGATCCGGCGACAGTCGTCGCTGCGTGATGCCAACTTGGTTAGCGAAATGCGTGCCTAGCGAGTGCGTGGGAGCGCTTAAATAAAAAAAAAACGTAAAGCTACGAGTGGCCGGTGCTAAAGTTCAACATAGTTCAAAGTACAGGGTGTACCAAAAATAAGTGCCGAAACTTTAATCGTGCATTTAAGCCATCAAAACCAACAACTTTTGTTTAATATTTTTTTTAGAAATCCTATTAATATTTAATATAGTAACATTTCTTTTTTTATTGTAATTTTTTCTTACCCGCCACTGGAGCAACTCGGAACGTTTAGTTAAGCCTCAAAGGTCACACTAGTGCGAATTGGGATTTTGCCTATTTTGAACCTTTATATCTTCTTTATTTGTTAACGAAAACATACCTGACGTATTTATATCAAAACTGGGGTAAAATTTTCCCAGAAATCGAATGATGTAATTAGTTTTGAAAAAAATAATATGTTGATAAAAAATGCGATTGAAAATAATTTTTCGAATAACTTTTTTTTTAAATTCGTATTATTTTTATAAATAATGGCTAGAGAAAAATTAAAAAAAGGATTTTGTAGTTCAAAGTCTATATTTAAAAAAAAATACAACATATGATATTATCGATTTTTTCTGGTATTTCGAATATAGGCATTTTTTGAAGTTGCAATTTTTGGCTCCTTTTCTGTAAATTGATGTTTATTTCTCACTCTTCTGTATAACAATATTAATTTAAACAATATTATGTTACAATTAAAGTATTAATGAAAAATTATTAACAATAAGTAAATAAACATTGTTCTAGTCTAATCGAAACTT